AAGTACAAATTTATCGACGTTTATCCAGTGTAAATCCTCTCGCACCAACTAAACATATTACCAATTCACGAGATCAGAAGTACAATTGCTCTCGGTTTTTTGCTGACACCTTTGCAGCATATGTATATCAATTGGCTTCATAGTGATGCTATTTAGTCAGTGTGCAGTTAGCCGATTACCATAGCAACATACCTCTACTGAGCTCATTGTCAGTGGAGTGAGTATATTCCGCGTAATCCTTCAGTAATCCAGCCGGTCTGGCTGTCAAATGATTCGCTACTTGAATTTATCAACTCTTTCATGTTCGATGTTTTGCATAGTTTGTAAAATGAACTGATATGGAATTTGGGGTCATATGGTCAAATTTGGTATGAATTTAGTTCATCCAAAAACTTTTAGTCTAACTCCACCTAAATGGCTTCCAAGATTTCCTGATAGATCCATTAATAGGAAAATCTCAATGAAAATAGAAAAAAAGGCAATATTCGCTGAAGTGAAGTGTATTGATGGATTCGCTGCGAGGCTGATTACATTAGCAGCGTTTTTCGAGCTGAACGGTTGCTGAACGCGTTTGAAGCAGAATTAGGTTGAAATCGGCCAAACGACCAAATATGCGCACCAAATATACCCATCGGTGGTCACCGGCAAAAATTTGAGGAATGTTTTCACATCTGTAGTGCGAATTGGTGGATGAGATTGTTCTTACTGACAGAACCTCACGAGTCACAGCAATTCCAGATATTCATTTGTGAGTTCTGAGCAATAAGTAATTTGAGCATACGAGAGCAATGAGTGGTGTGATCGTTTCAGATCATTGCATGATCTTAAAGTCAACAAAACATGAACGTTTCAGTTTGCGTACACAAATTTGCTATTTTCTTTGGAGCGGAAAATCTCCATCTTAAACGAATAATCCGAAGCAACCGAACTCACCCCGGATCAACGCTGTAGCTAACCGGTGCATTTCGAGCATGGAAGGTTGTAATGGTAGTGGAACCAAATGTGGTTCCTCAGAGTCGCAGAAAGGATCGCAACTTTATCGGCCAACTCGTGAACGTATCAGTGATAGCAGTGAAGAGAACCAGGACGATCAACGACATCGGCAAATCGTTGGTCTGGAAGAGGA